ACTTTAGGAGCCTGGGGCTGCGTGCAGCTGGCTTGGCATCAGGTGGGCTGCGGGCACAGGGTCTGCTTGGAGATGTTCACAGTCCTCAAAAGGTCCCCAAGAGCAGCCTGCCATGTCCCCGAGGGGCTGCTGTGGTTTTGGTGCTTAAGGGTGTGCAGCCCCCACCAGCTGTGGGCATCCAGCACCTCCAGGAGTGGTGGCAAGGGGAAGGTGGGCTTCCACGGGCGATGAGCGCTGGTAGGGAGGAGGTTTTGGGGATGGAGAGGTGGAATCTGAGGAAGGTGAGGCTCAGCAGATAGGCCAGTTTGGTGTTGCAAAGTGGGATCCCTTGGGAGGACCTGCATGGCGTGGGTGCAGCCGCTGGCCCTGACGGTGCTACTTCCCTGGTCATCTGAGGAGCAGGCTAGGACATCTCAAGGGACATCGTTGGGTTAGCTCTTCAGGTGGCTGGGGTTTGCTGGGCAGGTGGCTGGGGGTGCACTGGAAGCCCGTGGGATTTAGGGTGTGCTGCTGTTTGAGCCTGGTGCTGTCAGTGCCATCGGTGGCAGGGCAGAGCACAGCAGTGATAGCACTCATGTGGCTGCAAGAAACTTGAGGTCGGGGCATCTTGGAGGAGCTCATGTCAGGGTGGAAGCTCCCCTTAGCCTTTGCTGCTCTGGCGTGGCTTGGAGGAGCAGAGAGGTTGAGGTACAGACTTTAATTGGAATGAATGGAGACCTCCGGGCATTCCTGACATTTTCAGCATTGGACTTGGGCTGCAGTGCTCCCCTGGAGTTACCCAACGGTGCAAAAAGGGCTGAAGAGATGTCCAGAGGGCAGCTGCCCCTGGATCTCCATCCAGTCAAGGCTGGGTGAGCATTTAATCTGACTCCTCTGGAAATCACCTGCGGGTGGAGGTCCCCTGCCTCCTGGGTGCTGCCCTTGGGCGTTAAGTTGGGCTTCACGAGAGATGGAACAAAGCCACACGTCTGCCTGAGCTGAACCTCCAGCACACCCTGTGGGAGTGGACAGACAGAGGGATGCCTACAAAATTATTATTTTGTATTATTAAAAGTATTAGAAAGCAGCCCTGAGGAAAGGGATTTGGGGGTGCTGGTGGACCAGAAGCTGGACACGAGCAGGCAGGGGGCACTTGCAGCCCAGAAGGCCAATCGCATCCTGGGCTGCATCAAAAGAAGCGTTGCCAGCAGGTCCAGAGAGGTGATTCTGCCACTTTACTCTGCTCTGGTGAGACCTCACCTGGAGTATTGAGGTCTGGAGCCCTCGATATAGGAAAGACATGGACCTGATGGAGTGGGTCCAGAGGAGGGCCACTAAAATGATCATGGGGTTGGAGCACCTCTGCTATGAGGACAGGCTGAAGGAGCTGGGGTTGTTCAGCCTGGAGAAGAGGAGGCTCCGGGGAGACCTAATAGCAGCCTTCCAGTACCTGAAGGGGCTACAGGAAGGCTGGGGAGAACCTGTTTAGAAAGGCCTTCAGTGACAGGACGAGGGGCAATGGCTTCAAGCTGGAGGGGAGCAGATTTAGACTGGAGATTAGGAGGGGGTTCTTCACTGTGAGGGTGGTGGAGCACTGGAACAGGTTGCCCAGGGAGGTGGTTGAGGCCCCATCCCTGGAGATATTCAAGGAGAGGCTCGACGAGGCCCTGGGCAACCTGGTCTAGTTGGGGGTGTCCCTGCTGACTGCGGGGGGGTCGGACTAGATGGCCTTTGGAGGTCCCTTCCGGCCTGGACCATTCTATGATTCTATGAAAATGCCATGGTGGGGTGCCCAGGTCCTAGGTTTGCAGGTATTGGTACTCCCCGGGGATCGAGGAGATGCTGGGGGTCTACCAGGGGTGTGATGCCATCCCTCAGACTGCTGCCACCACCTCTGTGCCCCCTGCCAGCCTGTCCCCTGGCACCACCCTCTGCGGCGGCGCCGGCAATTCTTTCTTGTGCCAAAGATAACGCTTGGTTCACTCTACAAGGAGCACCTCTCCCTGGTGGCGTGGGAGGTGCAGGCGGTGCCACAACCTTCTCCTGCTGCTGGGACAACCCTGGGCTGGCTCGGGGCAGGACTGAGCTTGCTTTGCCTTTCCCTACCCAAAGCAAGTTGGTTTTTCTCCAGTGTTCAGCCCCCCCTCCATGCCCCATAGCCTCAGAGGCATTGAACTAACCCAAAACCTTCCCCCCCCCCATCTCCCTAAACCAACAGGCTTTCCTGGCTGTGGGGTGCGGTGTTCGGTGCATGTGTGCTCACTCCTTCCCCCCCCCAAATTCTACCCCTTTCCCTTCGGTGCTGCCCCGGGGCCACCCACCGGCCTGGACCATTCTATGATTCTATGAAAATGCCATGGTGGGGTGCCCAGGTCCTAGGTTTGCAGGTATTGGTACTCCCCGGGGATCGAGGAGATGCTGGGGGTCTACCAGGGGTGTGATGCCATCCCTCAGACTGCTGCCACCACCTCTGTGCCCCCTGCCAGCCTGTCCCCTGGCACCACCCTCTGCGGCGGCGCCGGCAATTCTTTCTTGTGCCAAAGATAACGCTTGGTTCACTCTACAAGGAGCACCTCTCCCTGGTGGCGTGGGAGGTGCAGGCGGTGCCACAACCTTCTCCTGCTGCTGGGACAACCCTGGGCTGGCTCGGGGCAGGACTGAGCTTGCTTTGCCTTTCCCTACCCAAAGCAAGTTGGTTTTTCTCCAGTGTTCAACCCCTCCCCACCATGCCCCATAGCCTCAGAGGCATTGAACTAACCCAAAACCTTCCCCCCCCCCATCTCCCTAAACCAACAGGCTTTCCTGGCTGTGGGGTGCGGTGTTCGGTGCATGTGTGCTCACTCCTTCCCCCCCCCAAATTCTACCCCTTTCCCTTCGGTGCTGCCCCGGGGCCACCCATGCTTTCTTGCCTTAGCAATATTTGCCGTGGTTCCTTGCCGTACCTCGGAGGAGAGCTGCCTCTCAGGAGACCAGCCCACCCCCTTCTGCACCCAGGGTCCCCCAGGGAGAAGTGGGGGGGACACTGGGGGCAAGGGGGCTGTGCTGCAGGTGCTAATCTCTGCTCTGGTTGAGATTATTTAGAGGGGGGTGCCATAAAACCCCCCCTTAAGCCCCCCACGCCGCGCGTTGGATGCTCTGTGGTGGTTCCACCACGGGGCCAGGACCCAGCACTGGGGGTTTATTCCAACCTCAGGTGGGAATAAAGGGCTTCTCACCATGGAAAGCCACGTCGTGGGATGGAGGTGCTGTGCTGGTCCAGCTCCCAGCTGGGATTTTGGCCCCTTCTCTGGGATGGGAGGGTGCTTCTGGTCCCCCGCATCCTCCTGGGCCAGGTGGACGTGCCAAGAAGTCATTCCTGTGATGTGACCTTGTCCAGTGTTACCATGATGTATAAAGTTTTGTACATACGAGATTCAGAGCTTTTTAACTTTTAATATTTATTAATTTCGTTGGGTTCTCTTTTTTTTTTTTTTTTCTCTTTTTGAAACTCTAACATAATGTAAAAAATAAAATAAAATAAGAAATCCACATCAAAATCTGCCTGTTGATTTATTCGGGGGTGTGAGGGGTGGGAGGAAAGGACCATGACCCAGGTGGAGTTGAAATGGTGAGTTGAACCAGGGAGTTCCCACCTCTTTATTTTGTTTCAACCCAGCCAGTTTCACGTGGCTGTTTTGAGATGATTTTTCCCCCTACCCCCTTATCTAAGACAAAGACCCAGCCAAATCCACAGATGTGACAGAACAAGAGGGAACGGCTTCAAGCTCCAACAGGGTAGGTTTAGAGTGAACATTAGGAAGAAATTCTTCACAGAAAGAGTGGTCAGAGACTGAATAGGCTGCCCAGGGAGGTGGTTGAGTCGCTATCCTTGGATGTGTTTAAGGGTTGTTTAGATGTGGTGTTGGGGGACATGGTGTAGGGGAGAACTTTGTAGAGTAGGGTAGATGGTTGGACTCGATGATCCCAAGGGTCTCTTCCAACCTCAATGATTCTATGATTCTATGTATTAATTGCAATCATCCTGCCATGGCTGTAGGAACGTTTCCTGACACCCAGCTGCTTGGCTTTACCCTTGCAAGGCTTGTTTATGGCTGCAGTTGGCACAATGTGCTTTTCCCTGGGGTACAGGAGAGCACTGGGATCACTGGATCCAGCCATCCCCAGAGGGCTGTAGGGTGGCTGGGGATCTCCAGGCCACCTTCCTAGGACAAAACTCACCCTGGGGTTTATCACGCTGCAGGTCTGCAATGGATGACAAGCTCCCCTGGGTGTGTGCGTGGTCTCCGTTATAGGGGGATGAGTCCAGCCCTGCCCGAGTTTCACCACTTGCTCGTCTTTGTGCTTTCTCATCCCCTTCCACGTTGTAGGACCCTGAGTCCATTGAATTGATGGTGAAAAGCAAGCTTTCTGCCCATCCAGGACGTGGCTTTAGTGCTGTACACCTGCTCTGGCTGTGGCAGAGAAAAACCTACATCTGTATACATATAGATATATACATGGAAATATATGGCTTAGCCATTCCAAAAATTAACACAGATGTGTTGCCTGTTCAAGCCAACAAGAGCCCCTGAGCTCGCACTGAGAACTTCTGCCATCGTTCAGGTGATCAATAAGGAGGGATGAATCTGGGGCAGGGCTGAAGCTGCAGAAGGGGTGATGCCCAAAATGTGGGGGGTGCATTTGGGCAGCCACCCCCATCCACGTCCCCTGTGCCCAGAGGGGAGGAGTGGTGCCAAAAGGCAGCTACCCCTGCTGCTCACGGGTGAGGGGTTTGGGTGAGGGGTTTTAGGCGACCCCTTAATGCAAGGTTGGAGGTGATGTCTCCATCGCCCCAGCCCATGGATGCTCTGCTCCATCCCTGAAGCATGGCGCTGGGTGAAGGGTGTCCTCCACTCTCAGTAGGTGTGGAGACCCGCTCCATCGCTGATGGCCATGGTTCCTCAGCAATGAGGAGGGGCAGGAGAGAGTCTCCAGCTCAGGCTGTGTCCCTTGGGCTTGGGCAGAGCCCGTCCTGCCACAGCTCAGGGACATGAGGTGGTGGAGAGGTGCTGGTGGAGGTGCTTGATGAAGTCTACTTGGGACTGCGGCAGGACACGGTTAAGGACGGAGGTGGGGATCCAGCCCTTTGGGAGAGAAAACACCCAAATGGGGGTCAGAGAGAGTTGGGGTGCCCATCGTGTGGTGGTGGTGGGGGGAGGAGGGTGCCTTGCCCCACATCCCGTGGTGGCACTTGCCTTTAGGTCCACGCTGAGGAGCCAGGTGAAGCGGGTATGGCTGGGGTCCCCTGCCAGCGGCTGCAGGACGATGCAGCTCAGCTGGGACTCGGCCCTGCGGTGGGCAAGGGACAGTTTAGGGTCCCTCCCAGGGGGTTAAAAAAACCCAAAACAAAGGGTGAGGAGATCCCAGAGTGAATGCAATGAGGAGGGCCTCCCTCCCCATGCCTGGCTGCAACCGTGGTCTCCCCAACCCTCCAGGACACGATACCCCACGATGCTCACTTTGTAGGGGAAGGGGGGTCTTTACCTGATGCACCCTTCCTGCGAGGGCAGCGGCTCAAAGTGGGTGGCTGTGCCCACCAGGTAGATGGCTGTGTCCCTCCTTCCCCGGTGCCGCACGCTGACGAAGTCCCGTTGGCCCACCAGGTTGCCCGGGCTGGGAGAGGTGACCTCGTGTGTCACCAAAGTGTCTGTCCCCACACGCTGCAGCACCTGCCGGAGCAAGGAGAGCCCCAGGGATTAGGATCCCCTCTGGGGACATCCCTGCCACCCCCTCGCTCCTGCCCAGGGGATGGTAACCTTGGGGAGGGCAGCACCAGCAGAAGCAGCAGCAAGGTGGGGGCTCGGGGCTGGGGATAATTAAATCCCAACTCCCTGCAGGATATTAATCACAGAATCACAGAATCTTCTAGGTTGGAAAAGACCTCAAAGATCATCTTGTCCAACCGTCAACCTCATTTTGACAAAAATAAACACCCGCACAACAAACAAGAAGCATCACCATCACTAAACCATATCTCCCAGCACTACATCAACCTGTCTTTTGAACACCTCCAGGGATGGGGCCTCAACCACCTCCCTGGGCAGCCCATTCCAATGGCTGAGAACCCTTTCAGTGAAAATTTTTTTCCTAATATCCAGTCTGAACCTCCCCTGGTGCAACTTGAGGCCATTTCCTCTTGTCCCATCGCCTGTGACTTGGGAGAAGAGACCGACCCCCACCTCTCTACACCCTCCTTTCAGGGAGTTGGAGAGAGCCAGAAGGTCTCCCCTCAGCCTCCTCTTCTCCAGGCTGAACACCCCCAGCTCCCTCAGCCTCTCCTCAGGAGACTTGTGCTCCAGACCCCTCACCATCATCATCTTTGTTGCCCTAAGGGGGAAATGGGTGATTTTTGCAGCTTTTTTTTTTTTTTTTTTTTTAAAATCTGGGATGCGACTCTCTCTATGCTATTTTTCTGAAGGGAGGGGGAAGTGGTAGCAATAAATAATCACGGGCTGGGTAGTGTTGGAGCCAGCCCAGGTGAGCTGGGGGAGGCTTTCTGAGGCTGGCAGCTGCCTTAGGGATACGCTGCGATTTGGGAGCTGAGAAACAAGGCAAATACTCATAAAAAGCCCCAGACAAGGCATAAGCTTCCTGGGGATGCCCCTGTAGCATGATGTATTTGGGTTTTTCTCCTTTTTTTTTTTTTTTTTTTGAGCTCTCTGATTTTCTTGAATGTTTTCTCGCCTGACATTGAAGTCTGAGCAATGTCAGAGTCCTCCGGTGCGGAAAAACCTCTGTGAATGGGCACCATGCGGAAAAGAGAGCTTGGAAATGACATGCCAGTAAAGCACATCTTCTCTTCCTCCTCTTGCAGGAGCGTGGAATTAGTTTTAATCCTTCAGTGATCTTAAAAGCCTCGGTAAATATGATTATTTTGGTTTGTTTTTTTTTTTTTTTTGGTTGTTTGCCACC